TGATTTATGAGTTAGCTGTGTCCTGACTTAGATCAGTCCAGTGGTTGATTCAGAGTTTGATTTATGAGTTAGCTGTGTCCTGACGTAGATCAGTCAGCTGGCTGCTTCAAGGTATTAATAAAATTTGAAGGTGATATAATAATCACTAATAATATCTTCATATTCTAGGGTTGTATGACGCCAAGCCTAATGCTGCTGTGCCAGAGCTAAGTGTAGAGCCATCTGCAGAGGGTGACGGCATGACACTAACCAAAGATCCTGTTATGCTGTTGAATGAGTACTGTCAAAGGAGCCAAAAGAAGGTTTGTTTATGGCTAGTACGAGAGCACCATCTTTCTTCTATTCTGAATCTGAATCAACCTTGTTGCATAACAAAGCTACCATCCAAAACAAACTGTTTAAAAAAAAGAAAAAGTGCAGAAGTAAACAGAAAATGAACCTAAAATAACTAGTTCAATCTATCTATTAAGCTTTAGCTGTTGTATCGCAGAGTACGACAATCACAACAGAGCTAGGCTCCAAATTAGAAGAAAGAAATATAGAAGATAGAAATATAATTTATAAGTTGATTTTGAGGAGAGAGGAACAATGGAGAACCTGGAGAAAAACTCCTGAAACACAAAAGAGAACCAACAAACAATTCTACTCACATACGACACCAAGCCCAACATGACTCAAACTTGGGTCACCTGGTTGAGATATAACACATTAGCAGCACATACCACCCTTGCTTCTAATAATATTAAAAAATGGTAGCTGCATGGAAACAGTGACATCCTTAGATGTTTCATGCTAATAGTACAGAAATCATTTAAAAAAATGAAATTTATTTTGTGAGTCTTCAAGAAAGTGTTTTCTCATTCTTTTATGTGTACATGTAAATAAGCCTAGTGTCTTCTACTTAAAGTGGATAGTTGACAGAGGGAGCTAGGAAAGCCACTGAGGGATCCAAGAAAAAAAGCCTCAGGAAAGGAGAGCACAACAAATCAAACAAACTCAGCTTACATATTTTATGTGGTTCAGATGAGAATCCAGCATGCAACAGGCATAAACTAGGCACCAGTGAGACCATCCATGCCACGCATCCCAGAGATGGTAGTGGGCTTGGGATTTAAAACCTACCACTACTGTACAACACAGTGATTGAAGAAGTGCATTACGCCATTGTTTTCTCGTGTTATGCAGATTGTATTTGAGGAGGTACAAGAAGGTGGTACTGACCATAACAGGGTGTTCTCATACCGTGTTATTATTGATGATCGCACTTTTGAGCAAGGTAGTGGTGCGTCAAAGTCTAGAGCCAAGAAGAATGCTGCTCTATTTGCACTGAAATCCTTATATGACATGCCTCTCTTTATGCGTAAGTATTTTTAAAGCAATGATGTCCTCCAAAACCTACTTTATTACGATGACACTCTCTTCCTTTCCCCAAAAAACATGAACAAAGTAGAATTAGAGCAATGTTGTCCTCCAACACCTACTTTGTTACGATGACACTCTCTTTGTTCCCCAAAATGACAACATACAAGTAGGATTTAGGCTGAAACTTTGCCTATTTTCATTTATGTTTTCAGCTGAAAAGCAGGCAAGTGAGGCCATGTCAGCGTCTGATTCCCACCCTGTGAGCATGCTCAATGAATATGGACAGAAGCACAAGCAAAAGGTGATAAGAAACAACACTGATATAAATGAACCTATAACCTACACTTTCTCATCTGATGTTTGCAATCGTTGAATATTTCATAAGGGTTTGGGGCGAGGACAAAAAATGATCCTGGGGGGAGGGGAGGGGCTAAATAAATACACTTAAATCCTTATAAACTATAGAATGTTGTATTTAATACCATTTCTCATATGGTGAACAATTATTAAATTCCTTCTTCCTATAAATATTGTGGTGCTGTGGGACTAATGGTAACGTGATGGGTTAGGTAGTTACTGTAGCACTAAACAGAAAACCAACAATTTTGGACAATTTAGTACATTTACTCTTTTATGAGCTAATAATGTGCAATCCACTGAGCCCAAAGTAACATTTTATCTTTTCTCCTATATCTGTGTGGTTTAGATTGACTTTGAAGACCTTGGCTATACTGGGCCAGATCATGGCCGAACCTACTCATTCCGAGTGATAGCTGGAGAACGGATCTTTGATATGGGGTACGGTGCTAGCAAGAAAGAGGCAAAGAGAGAAGCTGCAAAGATAGCACTGAGTGAACTCCTTGGTCTTGACTTGGAAATAGGTAATTATTGCACTCCATTATGCTACCTACTTTAGGAGAGAGGCAAACCGGAGAACCCTGGGAAATACCCTTGAATCAAGGGAGAGACCTAAAAAACTCTACTTACATGTGATGCTGAGTCTGGGAACATATCCCAAGGAGGTGAGATGCAGCTAGTGTACTACAACTATGTTTCTTTATTTACAGACAAAATGAACCAACCTCCAGCCGAAGAGGACCCAAGCAATGCCGCAAAAGGTCCTCCCAAGAATCCAGGGACAAAGAGTAAAGTGAGCGAACTGTACGAATACTGCCAGGCTTATCACCTTGAGCAACCTGAACCCAAGGATGTCTTCCCTGCTGACCGTACATCACCATCATTTCACTATGTCTCATACAAGATAGGTGACAAGGAGTTCTCTATCGGCGATGGAAGGAGCAAGAAGGCTGCAAGAGAAGCTGCCGCAACACTAACCCTAGACGAGCTAATGAAGAAGAACGAAGGATCTAAGTACACACCTGTAGGAACGACAGAAGCAGATCGCCTGGCTGCTCTCAGCTGGAATTGTCTGTCAAAGATCAGTAAGAATGCTCCTGATTCATGGAGATTTGCTGGCTACAAAGTCCTTGCTACTATCATCATGCAAGACAACGATGCTGAGCCATGCATTGTGAGCTTGGGCACTGGAAACAAGTATGTTTGTATTACACATCAATTTGATAATATCTGAATATTAGATCAGCAATCCCCTTCTTGTTATCCTGCTCCTTCTTGTTTTCATTCTTATTCTTATTCTTGTCCTACTCATTTTCCTTTTCCTTCTTCTCTCCTCTTTCTCCAGCAATCTCCTCCTCCACTTCATTTGATATCTTATTTGTAATGACACAAATTTATGCAAACACATGCTGATGTACTTGAAATAACAACATTGTAAAAAATATACATCATCAAAAAAAGAGGTTTTTATCCTCCTTTTTCTTTGCCTTCTTCTCAATCACTTCTTTCTTGTCCTTTTCCTCTTCTTTTCATCCGCTTCTTAATGTCATCATCATCATTAATTGATGTCCTAATACCATCTTGTTCTCTTTAGGTGCATCAGTGGTGATCAGCTTTGTCTTGATGGCTCCATCGTGTTTGATTCTCATGCAGAAGTGATCGCTCGCCGTGGTCTGATAAGATTCTTCCTTTGTCAGTTAGACATCCTGTTCGCAAATTCAGGAGAAAAGAGCATCTTTGAGCAGCCCAAAGCAAAAGGCACCAAAATGAAATTACGTGATGGAGTAAAGTTTCATCTTTACATCAGTACGGCACCTTGTGGTGATGCTGCCATCTTTGTGGCTGGAAACACAAGGTAAGCCAGTTCCATAGAGCTGCTATGCTCAGCCTGTAGCAGTCTTAACTTTCTGATGTAAATGGAAGCTAATAGAGGCATTGCACCATCACAAGATGCCAGCCATGACAGGATGGTAACCCTATGACTTTGCTGCTGTGAAGTCCATCTATTTAAATAACTAACATACTTAACTAACGTACTTATCAAATTAGTATTTAACATGCTGGGTTTTGCAGTGAGGAAAACAGTAGATTCAAGGGGGAAAAACACTTGTTTTGTCATAGAGACCCAACGAACTCTGTTCACCCTTATCACTGAGTCCAGAAGATCACAATGTCATATTATTCTACTTCTCATTTTAGCCCAACAATCAATGGAATGAGTGAACCAATCTTTGGAAACAAGCAACATGGACTACTGAGAACTAAAGTCGAAAAAGGCGAAGGAACGATCCCACTTGATAGTAATGATGGGGTACAGACTATTGATGGGATTAGACGAGGACAGCGACTCAGGACTGCATCGTGTAGCGACAAGCTAATGAAGTGGAATGTCCTCGGTGAGTCAGAAAATGTTATCTTTTATTTGTTTGTATGTTTGTTTGTTTGTTTGTATGTATGTTTGTTATCATCTAAAATCATTAAATATAATGCCTAACAATAAGAAAATAATCAAAAATGTAATGCTTCCTCTGACCTTCAAAACTAGTTGTACTCTTGTTGCTAAAGCCATTTTGAGAGTCCATCCTAAGTACAAATTTTGCCAAAAAAAGCTTGTAAAAATAGAATAGAAAAATAACATATGATTGTTGTTTGAGAAATTGAGGTGATTCGTTATCAAGAAATGGACAAATCCGAATTGATTTTATTTCCGTTCACATGGTTTTAATCATATGGTTTGTGTTTCCATGATATCTCTGCGACCACATTTGAATATCGTTACTTGGTATCAGTGTTGAAAAAACATACATTTTGTCATTGTCATGGTGTCAGTGTTCCAAAGCATACATTTCATCTTCGACATGGTATCAATGTTACAAACCTATGTTTCGTCCTTGCCATGTTATCAGTGTTCCAAACCTACATTTCGCAGTTGCCATGGCATCAATGTCACAAATCAACATTTTGTGGTTGCCATAGCATCAATGTTACTACTATTGCATTGCCATGGTATCAATGTCACAAATCAACATTTTGTTCTTGCCATAGCATCAATGTTACTACTANAGCATCAATGTTACTACTATTGCATTGCCATGGTATCAATGTCACAAATCAACATTTTGTTCTTGCCATAGCATCAATGTTACTACTATTGCATTCCCATGGTGTCTATATCCGCACACCAACATTCCGTTACTATAGTTATTTTGCGGGGCCTTTTATACGTCATTTTGCTTGAATTATGCATTACATGGCTTCTATGTAATCAATAACTTGTTGTGTTGATAGATAAAATATCATAAATAATATATAATGCAAACGTTTAAATTAAAACCATAAAATGTACATAAACAGCCTATCAATATGGAAACAATGCCATAACACCTTTAAAACCTTAAATCCAGGTATGCAAGGTGCGTTGCTAAGCAACGTCATCGAGCCAGTTTACTTGAGTTGGCTTGTGGTGGGAGACCTGTTTGATGCCGGACATCTCTCACGAGCTCTCAGCGCACGCGTAGAACGTGACGGAGAAAATACCTTTTCTACAAAGCTGCCGGCTCCTTATCACGTGAACCATCCCACATTACACTGCGGTCGTATTGCGTCACATGACTCGTCACGCAAGGTTGAGACGAAGAACAAGGCAAAGAACGTGACACTTAACTGGATACTGGAAGATGAAAGCAAAGTCGAGGTATTCGACGCATGTCTGGGTTGTAATCCAGCTGTCAAGTCACCTCCAAGGCTCTCAAAGTAAGTCATCTTTTATCCTTCAATTTGATCTTTTTATCATTATCTAGTGCTCCCATTGTGGGTTCAGTATAAATTAAAATCAAGCGCGCTCAAGTGAATGCTTCTGTCACTGCGTAGCGGAGAACATGAGTAGCGTCCAGTCCACTTGAAAAATATATTTGTACTGGGAAATATTTTTGTACTGGGAAATACTTTTGTACTGGGAAATATTTTTGTACTGGGAAATGTTTTTGTACTGGGAAATATTTTTGTACTGGGAAATATTTTTGTACTGGAAAATATTTTTGTACTGGGAAATATTTTTGTACTGGGAAATATTATAACTGTCTGGCATACATATATGTGTGCTGAAATACACATTTTTGTACTGACATTAATATATTTGTGCCCTTGTGGGCCACCATGTTTGCTTCTTGACGGAGACCAAAAGTATCTCAAGCGCGATAGGTAGAAATGGTTTTTTTCTGCCATTGATTTTGATCACTTGATTTTTAGATTTAATTCATTCGTTGCAAAGTTTTAATATCATATCTAACATTTGTCTTTTTCCCTCTAAAGACTTTCGCTTCTGAATACTTTCAAAGAAGTTCTATCCAAGAGTCCTGATGTGACGCTCGAAACCGTTCTCGTGGCTTCGTCTTATCGAGAAGCCAAGAACATGGCACAAGAATACACCAAAGTCAAGTCTCTTTTATTCAAACTCATGAATGAAAAAGGATACGGATCCTGGGAACTAATGAAGAAACCTGTTGAACTGGACCAGTTTTGCTGAATGGAGAAAGGGTTTGACTGTGTCTTTAGATTCCAGGACACTGCTTTTAATTAGTGGACATGATGCTTAGAGAGGGTCTGGGTACGTGTTATGCTAATGCTATTTTAAAAAAAGAAGAAAGCTGCCGTGTATATTTCTGATAAAACAGGTCATACTCCCTCCTCAATTTAACCTAACATGCTAAATTCCGATTCGATCTCTGTGTTAGCCATGCCATGCCCCGACTTAGATCAGCCCAGAGGTTGTTTCAGGGTTCGATCTGTGAGATAGCCGTGCCCTGACTTAGATCAGCCCAGAGGTTGTTTCAGGGTTGATCTGTTAGTTAGCCATGCCCTGACTTAGATCAGCCCTGATGTGGTTTTTTAGGGTTAGATAAGGTTTCAAAGAAAAATGATATCATAAGAATCATAAGTGCTTTTAGCTGTAGTAATAAGGACCCACGTGTATCTAATGACTCTGGTATAATAGCCTTAGAGCGTGTGCTTTGTATTAAGGCGCTTGCTTAAAGGTGGCAATAAGGTCCCACTTGTATCTAATGACTCTGGTATATTGGCCTTAGAGCTTACTTATGGCTAGAGATAGTGTGCTTTGTATTAAGGCGTTTGCTCATAGGCAGTAATAAGGTCCCACTTGCATCTAATTACTCTGGTATAATGGCCTTAGAGCTTACTTATGGCTAGAGATAGTGTGCTTGGTATTAAGGCGCTTGCTCATAGGTAGTAATAAGGTCCCACTTGTATCTAATTACTCTGGTATAATGGGTATTTTAAGGTTTGTTAAACAGTTTTGATATCAGTTTTTATTGTGAACTTGGGTGTTTTATTGAGGAATTATAAAATATGCTGTACATATATATCACGTAGATTCTTACCAGACATAAACGCACATTAGAGTCGACTATTAAAACGACTTACCCTCAAGATACATTAGTAGACGTACTCATAAATCATATAAAGAAAAGAATAATCCAATCAAGTGTTTTGTCATATTGGTTGTTATCAAGACTGATTGTGTCGAGTCGTGGTTTTGGTTGTTTTTTCTCCTTGTCTGTTGCCCTTGTGTTATCGAAAAACACTTCATTAACCCTAAAATATTTTTTTGGTTGCCTTAGTTGAAATATTTAGCACATTGCAAAGTAAGATCATTTTCAATTTCCGAGGTGAAGGCTTTTACAAGGGTGACGTACAGTTTGCCAAAAGGTGGAGCGTACATTTCAAAAAAAATTGTGCGAGCTATTTCCAGGATAACGAGTAATTTTCTGAGAAAAAAGGGGCCATATTTAAGAAAAAAAACATTTCATGTGCTTTCCACCCGTTGATACGTGTGAGGAATATCAATAAGCTTGTCGTCCCGTCCATTGTGACTCCAAAAGTGACAGCCAGTGTCCTTCCCCGTCATTCCTAGTACTCCTGAGGCAACACTGTACACGACACATGACGTCATCAATACTCTGTCACGTGACAAGGGACTTTGTTCCTACTCCTGGAGCAAACTGACACCGATAAACTGGAAAATAATGATGCCTCGCCATAACACGTGACACATGACGTCATCAATAATCTGTCACGTGATAAGGGACTTCTTTTCTACTACTGAGACAACACTGGCTGATAAACTGGAAAATAATTATCCCTCGTCTTGACACTTGATACGTGACGTCATAAACACTACGTCCAATGATAATTTTGTTTTTGACGTTTTTCGTTCTATTCAACATGGCGGTGTATAGAGAGAATGACTTTACGCACGTTTGATAGTTGCAGGAACCAAGATGCTTTGCGAGCGTCTATCTACTAGTTTTTGTAGGAATCCTTACACCCAGACTCTACTCGTTTTAAGAAAATGTGTAGAGTTTGGGCATTAGTATGGTGTGGATGAGTGGATGTGCTGGTCAGCACGCAGGAGAACTCTTTATTGCGATAAGATTTCAAGGGCACATGTAACAGGACTTGGGAGAAAAGCCAGTTTTGTTTGATTATGTGTTTATACAGGGTATTGAATATCATCGCTACTGACGTAGTAGTCTGAAGCAGTCATGTCTTGAAGAAATGAGGACAGAACTAAACGGAATGGATGAATGATTTTATGAATTGATGAATGAAAGAATTAATGAGTGGATGGATGGATGGAGGGATGGGTGAGTGAGTCAGTGAGTAAGTGAGTGAGTGAAAGAATAAAATAAGAAAGAAAATGAAAAATAAATGAATAGAGAATCCATAAATATATGAATGCATAAATAATTGATTGGATGAATAGTTGACTTAATTAATAAATGAGTAAATGAATGAATGAATGAATGGAAGGAAAAAAATTATTTTTCGCTCACTGCATTCTCCATATCAACGTAAACAATATCAAAATAAGAAATTAAAATAGTCCTTTTTAGAATTAAATTGAAATATAAAAAAGAGCAAGATTTGAATATTTTAGTGTTTTACATTAAGCGACCTGTACTTGACAGTCGACATCTCTGATTATTGTCTGTTTATTTCAGTCTGTTTTTAAGTCTAAGTAGTCTGTCGTCATTCAACCTTCTTGTTCATTATTAATAAGTGTTTTTCAGCGCTTGACAATTTACGACAGGAGCAAAGCCAGGTCACAGGAATTTGAGGGGGAGGGGGGATCAACAAATCAACAACAACAACAACAACAAAAGAAAACAGAAACAAACAAACAAAAACAAACAAACATTGTTTTATTAATTCAATCTTTATAAAAAAAAATTTTTAATTTATAATATTTTACTTTAATTTTCTTTTATATCTCGACAATTGATTACAAACATTTTTAGACTGACCCACAATATTTCCGTAACGACACCCATTTGCACATTTGAAAATAAAACTATCAAAAACTGAACAAGCTGGAGCTAAATAATTCATTAGATACTTGGCGAATAATAGGAGGAGGGTCTAAAACATTTAGTAATCCATCAGATCCATGTATATTGATATTTGAATTTGTTTAGAAGTAAAAAGCGATTTAAACTGATGTGTTATTGACCGAGGAAAAATGATGAAATGATATGAAACTTGATACGGATATTCGCTGCAATTCTATCACGATGATATGATAACAATAATAAAGATTCAACTGGTAAAAAGTCTAACTTCGTTAAAAATCAGAGTGAAATTTCGATTTATTCACTCAGTGCTTGCGAAATTAAACAAGCTTTGTTTTCGACATTTGAATTTTGCCTCGTTACAATCTTATAAAACTAGAATCATAGCTTTTAGTTCAGTGTACTTAAAAAAGATAAAAACAACAATTTAGCTGGTATTTTTTTCTCGAAAAAAGTCCTTTAAAAACAAGTAAACATGAAAAGCTTCTTTATGAAGAATATTTGATATCGATTAGCGAATTCTATTAATAAGGGATTCGTTGCTAAGCGACGCTTTTATCCAAGTGTTTTGTTTAGCGTCTGTGTGTTTTCTGTTACACACTCGTTCTGAGAGTATAATCACATCAGATATGAATTATTTATCGCATTTAATACCAAACCATGTTCCTTTCGTATCAGAGAAAAAAACATCGCGAAAAGAAATTTTTACGAGGAGCATTTTGCGAGGATATAAAAGATTTTGTAGCTAATGGAGTACATTTGCGTCTATATAGAAATAAATAAGTCTTTTATATGGATTAAGTCCAAGGTTCTCTATGTCTTCGCGGAGCTGTTGAGATCGCCTTCAGTGTCTATGCATATCCAGATTTCTAAACTTCCATTGGAATAAAATTTCAATCACGATAAACTAGCTTCATCCATGTTTTTGGTAAAATTAGGCTTTGTAATAATCTATAGCGGTTGCTACTTTAAATGGGAACTTGTTCTTGTTCAAAAATTATCTCAGTTTGTTCCTTGTTGCGTGAATGAGAAAGAGAAATTGAAAAAAAGAGAGTTAAATTCAGTTGAACATTGTGTTTACGTAGAGAACTCGATGGCTTGCAAACAACAATCAATCCCTCGCTCACTTATATTTAATATTTCGCTTGGTTATTCGCCGTTAAATGGCTGCTGCTCTCTTTCTTCTTTATTATTAATTCTCTACCGCTTTACATTTGAGCTTTTTTCTTCGATATGAGAAGGAACGCAAATGGAAAAAATGAAAGTCGTTTTCGTCATCTTCGTCGGATCAAATCAATGAAAGAATCATACATTTTCTAAATCTTCCTTCCTCCAGCAAGGCTTTTTGTGTCAAACTTCTCATAAATTATTCTCAACCCCCCGAATCTTAATTTCAGAAGCGGCGAACAAGACAGTTTGTCAATCAGTTATTTTGTACTCTTCCATCAGCACCTGCCGGCTTAGCAGCTGCTACGCTACTACGCATGCTCAGTAATGGAGTTAGACAATCGTTTGATTGACACGAGTCTCATACGAAGGATCCTTTACTTACAGTTCTAAATTAAAATCTCCCCATCTTTGTATGCAAATTGGGGAACACTCACTAAGCCATCGACGACAAACTATCACTAACATATTCACAGTAAGTCTGAATTCACAAGTTTTATCGCCCCAAAATGGCCACATTTTTTGGATGGAATATAACTGTTTACACTCCATAGGACACTCATAACTGCATTATTAAGTAAGGGGTTGAATTTTCGTATGTTTTCAAGACTACGAAGCAAGAAATCCAGGATTGAATTGGAGCGTAGAGTTATTGATCTAAGCACCTTTCACCTGTTCTCAACTTCTAAAGCTTCTTGTTTGGTTTGTTTGGGGGAGAATCGATTTCTCGTAACCACAAATCTGTAACTAACTACAAAAAAGAAATTTAAAGAGCCATTTAAACGTGTGAAGACTGCACTGCTATTTCCAGTCGGCGAAAAACGTTTTTTCTAAACACGGATGAGCGAAAAGCAGCTTTGAAAATGAGCGATTCCAAAGTGACGTCTCCGAATGCCGCGGTGATTCGAGAAGAAGGAGGCGAAGACGAAGACGACGAAGCAAAAGCGCCACAGGATGATTCAGGGAATGTAAGCGATCATGAAAACGAGCAATCGACTCCTCATAATGAAACAGCGCCGCCACCAAGAAACAGGGACCGCGTATCAATTAATGTTGGAGGAGTATTACATGAAACCTACCGAAGTACCCTAAAAAACATTCCCGATACACGTTTATCATGGCTTTCCGACGCCGCTACAGGGTCTGCCGATTATGACGCTGTTACTGGAGAATATTTTTTCGACCGCCACCCTGGAGTATTTTCCAATGTCTTAAACTATTATCGAACGGGAAAATTACATTGTCCATTAGATGTGTGCGGGCCGCTTTTTGAGGAAGAACTAGAATTTTGGGGGATAGACGATCAGCAAGTTGAATCATGTTGTTGGTTGACATATCGCCAACATAGAGACGCTCAAGCAACGTTAGCTGCGTTTGAAGGAGTTGAATTTCAAAACGAGTTCGATGACGACGAAGAACCCGATCTTGGAAGGTATGGATTCAACTTCTCTGCCGAATCTGAGCCGGATAAAACATGGTACGAGAAGTACCAGCCGAGAATATGGACACTGATGGAAGAACCACACTCTTCCATGCTCGCCAAAGTAAGTATTTTTCGGTTATTTAATATTTGATTCGGTTTTTGATATAATGCTGTTGAAAAAACATCGAAATCAATGGAATGAAACGCGCTAACTTATCGCCAAACCACAAGTTGCTCAATCTTGGCTGTTCTTTTCACCAAACACGTTTCCTTCATCGGAAAGTGTTAGCATCTTATTAAGAAAACGAGACGATTTCGTTAACAGTATTTTCTAGTGTGATTTAGAGGCCAAATAGGTTTAAAAAAATAAGGAATAAAATTGCAAGGTCGGGAGACGGAGCGTTCAAGTTGAGCGATTTGTGGCGGTGAGGCAATACAAAAAAAAACAAGAAACTTTCATGTCATAATACCAGTCGTAAATATTTAATATACGGTCCTTGGAGTAGTGTTTCGGGAAGATCTATCAGGGTTGAAATGATAGGGGAGTTAGATAAATTAGACCAAACATGAATGAATTTCTCGGCCGCCGAAAAGTCTTAAAATGTCTAAAGGTGGTGTTGGTTGATTTGATAAATCGCACGTACTTTTTAAGGTACGCCATATCGTCAAACATCGCTCGACGAGTTGTTGTTTAGAGTATTCTCAGTAGTTTTCTGTGTTGTCCCCGAGAATATCCACAGCGGATCTTTTTATTATGTGAAGATAAAGAAAGAATGACAATAAACGATTCACTAGTAGGCTAGTAGGTACAGCCAGCAACACACGGCACGGAATGATGCTGGTTCTCGACTAATTGACTCGTCTAGTTTCGAAAATTTCCTCTTTTTCCCCCCATTTTATTCGTGAAAATTTTCTTTTTAAATTATAACTCTAGTTTCAGTATTTAGCGTAGAAGGTAATATATGAGATATACCGACTTCTGGAAAGGAAGGCAAAAGCTGAAGATAGTGATATTGTACATTGGTGATAGTTATTTATGCAGAATGGAAGGCCATCTTTACTGTGCCTATAAATTATGTATTACGATTCTCTTAATCTCGGGGCTAAAAAGCCAACAATTAAGTAAGGTCTTTTAGTACGAGTCACTAAAACACACCTCATGTTTTAGATCAAAAGGGAATATCCAAGCCTTATAAAGCTAATCTGTTCACCTTGGAATTGATAGTCTTGTCTTTCGCTCACGATAGATGAATAATAATGACGTAACTAATGATTCAGCGCCTGCAGAAATCTTTTCAAAATATCATTTATTTATCACAATTTGTTCACACAAAGTTAGTTTCAAAGAACTGAGTATTTTAGCCCCGAACGTTTTAACATTCTAGAAAAAAATATTGTTGAAAATTGTGATAAAATACTGGCACACTCTCATACATATATATACGGTCATTAATTATGGTATTAAAGGAAAAGCACGTTCTTCATCAAAAGCCGCGAGAACAAGAAAAAAATAGGCTCGACACTCTCGTATTTTTTGAAAAACATAAAGATGGTTTTCCACCCACAGTATTCAGTCAATTGAGCTTTTAAACTTCAATTTTTTATGTTTATTTTTTATATAAAATTCTTTTTTTTTGATGATAAACGCAAAAACCGCAAATTTACATACAAGTAACCATAATAATGGTTGGTCATTTCATGGCAGTTTTCTTGATTTTTTTAGGTTGAATTTCATTCGTTTTTCATGCCGGAAAATTTGTATGATATTCACTCGCTCCCCGTTTCGATATTTGTTTTTTTGTTATCCATCAGAACATTTAGTATTGTTTGGAACTTGCTGTTTATTATGCGTTCAGATAACAAATGTCTAATCTCCATCACTTATCTTGTTTTATCCTTTTTTATATTCACGTTTTGATGCAGGATTCCAGTCAAAAATGTTTTCAAAGCACGTATTTAAAAAAGCCAAAGATCTTCGTTATTATTGTTCATTGTAATATTTTTCTGTCTACACTTTTTAAAGGATATAAAATTTTCAAGTCAAAATGGATAGAGACATGATCTGTTATGATATTGACCCACCTATTCGGTTATGTTCCTTTACCTTGATTGGTCGTTTGAAAGTCGATACGTGTGACACTAACCATATAATTTACCATATTTTTTAACACCTTAGATGCGAAATCGCGATTTTATGGAATCGTTAATGTCAGATTAGGTACATTTTTGCTTTTACAAATGCAATGGATTTCTTTGGAAATAATGTTGTTTTTAGTTATCTTTAGCGTGAAAGCATTTAACCCGTGAAATAAAAAATATACTAGTCAACGTGTAATAGTCAAATAGACACAAAAGAAAACAATGGAATTAGGGTGTACTAATATGTATTAGTCTAATATCTATTTCACGTGAAGTCATTAATTCACTTTACTAAAAAAAGTCTTTGTATTCTTGGATGGCGTTGCAGGATGTATTGTATTCTTGGATGGTGTTGTAGGATGTATTGTATTCTTGGATGGTGTTGTAGGATGTATTGTATTCTTGGATGGTGTTGTAGGATGTATTGTATTCTTGGATGGTGTTGCAGGATATATTGTATTCTTGGATGGTGTTGCAGGACGTATTGTATTCTTGGATGGTGTTGCAGGATGTATTGCATCACCACAACCAACAACAATATCTAGACACACTAGTTGTACAATGGCTTTGCCAAGCATAAGCACACGAGCCTTTAGTTGTGTTTATACTAGAAAATACAAGAGATAGGGATATCCCATTGTGTGTCATGATATAGAATTATATGGGAAGAAAGAGTAGAATACTAACTAATATGTAACTTGTGGCTCTCCTGCGCTCTGATTGGCTGTATTTCTAAGGTATATAATAGATATATTACTTGTTATTTATTCGCAGGTCATCGCCTACACATCGTTAACTTTGATAATCTTGTCTGTTGTCACCTTCTGTCTGGAATCAATGGAACCCTTTAAGGAAGAACGAAACGTCAACATCTTATTCATCTTGGAAGGAGTGTGCGTAGCATGGTTTACCGTAGAACTCTTTGTGCGATTCATTTTTTGTCCTCACAAATGTGACTTTTTTAAGAAGGTTATGAACTGGATCGACTTTATCGCTATCCTTCCGTTCTATATTAGTGTTGGATATCGCAAGAATGAAAATTTTGAAGTTCTGATGATTGTAAGATTGATCAGAATTTTCAGGATCTTCAAGCTATCCCGGCATTCCTCAGGCCTCCAGATACTTGGACATACACTGAAAGCGAGCATCCGTGAACTATTGTTGCTCATTTTTATCCTAATAATGGGCGTCGTTCTTTTTGCAAGTATAGTTTTTTACTGCGAGAAGGACGAACCAGACACTAAGTTTACAGACATTCCTTCCTCATTTTGGTGGGCGGTCGTTACTATGACAACGGTAGGCTATGGAGACATGGCGCCAAAGAGTCCCGCGGGAAAATTCATAGGTAGTCTATGCGCGGTCTGTGGTGTCCTGACCATTGCACTTCCGGTTCCGGTAATCGTGAATAATTTCTCACTTTACTACTCGCACGCGCAGGCTCGCTTGAAGCTGCCCAAGAAGCGAAGACGCGTGTTAGTTGCAGCTCCTAATGCGTTAAAAGCTCCCGCCTTAGTGGAGAATGGTATGAGCGGGGACTCCAAAGGAAGCGGCGACAGTGGCTGCCAAGAAAACAGAAACTGCAGCGTAGTAGTGACAGATGAAGTATCAGAATCAAGACCAAGAAGACCCGTGCGAAGAGAAAGCCATCTATTCGGCCAGACATCTCCTCCCAGTAATGGTAGTGCAAACGTTGGTAGGAATAGTATTTCTGGCACGTACGCCTATCAAAAACGACGGTCAATGAGACCTACTGTTCCTACGTTGACAGAGGTAGAATAATACAAAAGGTTAGTCCATCAATTTTCTTTATAATAAGTTAATAGACCTTTCACGAATAGTCCCTTTCACAGTTCCCAGCGCCATCTTGAAAGGTAGCCGTGCCTTCGCATGTCGAAGCTAGACGAAAGTTGAGCTTGCAATAATATAGACCTTCATTTAATACTGTGTATAATTTTCACATATCTCTATCATTCTCTATCAAGCTCACCCTAGAGTATTGTTTTTTAGTCTGTTACTGACATACTTAGCACAAATCGTCTCATTGCCTTCAAAAGGGAATCGATGTACGTTAGCCTTGACTGTGTGTAGAATATTCAACGTGATAGTTGTCGAAGCAGCACCCTTTATCCCTTTCATCAGGGTCAGATCCTCTTTACCTTGGGCATAATGTTCATGTCATTCTCTTGAGAACAGGATTTTTTGGTTTAAGTTGTATCTATATTCATCTGTCTTCTCATGCGCAACCATTAAACAAAAAATGATACTCTAGGGAATGACACGTGGTCTGAAATGGAAAAAATATTTCGCGCGAGCCGAGGAGGTCGATTACGAACAAATCTTTTTCGAAAACGTATCTCATGTATGGTTAACCATCTTGATCATGTTCTTGCAGGGAGCACAGAAAAATATCAAGAAAATCAACGTGAAGCAGGTTGGACTGAAGTAGCGTACACCATCCTATCCAAAGAACAGTAAAGACAAGCTAGGCCGTAAGGTTGGTCTGTAAAACACAACAGCTGCTGAAAAAAACGAATGAAAGAAACTGTGAAAGAGGTGATAAGACAGTCTTCAACTGGCTGGGTGATCCGACACAAAAATGAACCAATCACAACAAAGAACATAGTCTTTGTAATTTTGAATTCAATAAGGTCAAGGAATGATGAATGACGTCATGACCAAGGAATCTTGAATGACGTTGTGTTCAACTTCAAAAGTATGTATATGACGTCATAAAGCATTTGAACTCAGAAAGGAGTAAGCACAAAGAAATTCAATGTAAAAAGCAGGTTTGACTGCAACATATTCAACTCGTAAAAATTGTTTGAGACAATTTATCAGTGACGTCATCGATTCACTGATGACGTTAAATGACGTTTATATTAAATGACGTCACAATTTCTGACATTAATATGCAAGAACATAAAATGTAACGTGGTTATGACGTAATCAACACCACGTGACGTTAATAAACCAATTATAAGCCATGAATAATTATACAGTAGTTTTTCTAGAGTATATAAGCAATCCGTCATCGTGTTCTTAATAAATTAAGGACTTTAATTCCAAATCCAATAATCCAGATATATTCATGCTAGTAGAATTATTGCACTGTATAAAATGTTCAATATTTTGAGTACAGACAAGTTACACGTAGACATTGTAAATAACATTATATGATTGATTTGAGGAAGCAAATCTCGTTCCAAGAGCTCCTCGGTTTCATTCCTGGAAAGCGTGGAGGTCTGGGTACGAGATTGGTTGGAAGCCGTGTTGAAAAATAATCAAACATTCGTGGCTATATAGGGTTCTTGAGCACGCGATTTAAATGTTTTGGTAGAGTTTCACAAAACTGGGCGTAACCAAGCCTTTGCATGAAAACTATTGATGTCATGTGATGGAAAAGCTTGACTGCATTGGAAATGTCTGCTGATTTCCACGTGAATGTCACGTGACTGCTAGAGATTTTTACCTTCATTTTCAGTTCTCCATCCGAATTAATTTAAAAAATTAGGCTTTTAAGACACTTTCTAGTGAGTTTTGTTTTCCTTGATATCTCGCTCCAACCTTGGATTTTTTTCACTATGGCTTCCATATCTCCAGAAAATCCTCATTTATCCAACTTGAAATGCTCATAAAATGGTACTTCAAGACAGAACAGCTAATTTATACTGTTGTTCCATTCATATAAGTACTCCCGTCACCATGTCTTCTCAGAGAAGTTCTGGAAGAAGACCTGATGCACATAAATGAAATTTAAAGAAATCAATTATGATCGCGTAAATGATTAATATCATGAACCAGTCTTGCTCTTTTTCAGAGAAAGAGAAAGCTGAGGTACAAAAAGAAAAGTACTAATGATAAATAAATAAATAATTGATGATTATAGCGTGCAGTATGTTGCTATCGGTTGTTAATTTCTGCTGTGATTATAAAACGCAAGTATGAATTACAGGTTGCGCAATTATTAATAGATATCAATGATTAATCGATTATTGCTAGGGCCCAAGTCAATATGAAAAACTAATATTATAATCCAATTATAATAGATACTTTGATCTTCAATTGATAGATAGATTAGTAATGAATATCTGATATTATCAATATATTATTAATCTATTAGTGTATATAGACGTATCATCATAATGTAAGATATTTTCATATAAAATAGAAAATAACCGGATGTGGCTTTCCACTGTCTGTCTGTCTGACTGTCCGTCTGACTGTCTGTCTGTCTGTCCGTTGATCGGCTGACTGGAATTTGTACATTGGCCCCAACGAAATGCTGTAGTGAAATATTAAAATCATGACCATAACCACATGACTTTTTTATTCTAGTTGATATTCCCTGGGGAAGGTTTTCTGTTGTCTTTTCTTYGAGGAAAGAACGCAATACGCATGTTCAAAGAGACAGTGTAAATATGGCGGGCGTATAGCTACAATAAAATGTGTGACTCAGGCCCCGTCCACACTATGCCGGATAAATTTGAGTCCGAATTTTTATTTATTCGGTTAGGCCTACCGTCCACACTAGTCCGGGCGAATCCGGAACAATTCTTCACCGAAAACGAATTTTTTCGAATACGGTCTCCAGAGTGGAACAATTTGAAAATGTCGGCTAGCCGTATTAGCGTGGACGGAGAACATTTCGTAACCAAAAATTTTCGAATACGAAGACGTCATGATTGTCATGGGAACATGGCGGGAACGCTAAAAATTCACCGCGGGCTCAATTTCATCGTCGATGCACATGCTCAGATGTGCAATGAAGCGTTTCTGCCGCCTCTGATCGGACTAGTGTGGACGCGAAACTTTTTAATTGTTTTCATGTGTGAACGGAAAACTTTTTTTTTGGTTTCGGTATGAAAGTTGCGGATTAAAATTTATCCGGCAAAGAGTGGACGGGGCCTAAGTCACTCCATGTCAGCGTAACCCAAAATTATGATTCTTCAAAATCATTTATCTACAATAAGGCAGCACGTGAGGGTTTTTGGTCCAGGGTTCGCTCCGGTTTTCCTCCCTCCGCAAAAATAATCAAAAATTTAATCAAAATTTAATTCGATCATGGAACAAGTGTCACAGGTTTTTTAACCACTGCCTATTAAGTGCTACCCTCGTAAAAAAAAGGATGATGACGACAGACAATTCTGTAATCAGTTCAGTTTATTCACTCACCCAATATACTAATTTACATGGAATAGATACAATATAATGTACTGGTATGAGAAATGCTTTAACATATCAAGGCATTCCAAACGGATTCCTTGCCATCGCGTTATTCTTTATATCAGTGATCTCTTTCATAGTAGTTAAGAAGTGGCTCACCAGTAATAGTATTAATAGTATTTTAATATTTAATAGTATTAGATATATCAATCAATTTTTCTGCTTTCTACATTTCGCCCAATATATATTTCATATTATTTCATAGTATTATTCTTTATATGAGGTTTTTGTATCGTGAGGCGCAATGAGACCTTTTTATTATTATTCCGCTTTGTCCTTTAGTTTAACCTTTGTTCCTTGTGAACACTTTTTGAAGTGACGATAAATGTTCATGTAAAAACAGAATAGAAAACAGACAATACTTATTTATTACCATTTGTGACTTCATTTTGAAGTTTTCATGACAACGTTTCAAAACTGACCCATTGATATGCGTGTTTGTTGTATTTTTCAAAAAGTGTTTAAATAGACCTAGTGCGTAGTCGATTCTTTAAATTGGTCGGGATGGCCTGGTGTCTAGAACTCATCGTGTAGCGTCTGCCCAAACTGCGTGGCGTAACTTCCGGCGAAGAACTCGCTGCTCGTAACGAACTCCTCAGCGTCTAGCTTCCCATCCTATCAATCCAATCAAAAACCTCTTAGAATTGGTTGCTATAGTTACGATGGGTTACTATAGTTTCAATTGGTTGCCATAGATACAACGCGTGACGATTGGTTTCTGTCGTGATCGTAACTAAGGTTCTGTCCATTGTCATTAGTTTCTATGGTAACACTTGTCTCTATGGTTACAGTCAAGTGATTGGATAGTTTCTTACCGCGTTTAGGTCCGCATGTTCTATCAAGTGTTGTGCTTCTTCTTGTGCTTTGTTGAAGTTCTTTGGTCGTCTCCAGTCCTCCACTTCTTTCTGTAGAAACAAATCGAGCGTACTGTTCTTTACCTTTTGCAAAGATTAATGAGGCTAAATGAAGATCTTCTAATTTGAAATTGTATCGGATCCTGAAACAACCGCTTGGCTGATCTAGGTCCGGGCATAGCTAACTCACAGATTGAACCCTGAAACAGCCTCTGGGCTGATCTAGGTCCGGGCATAGCTAACTCACAGATTGAACCCTGAAACAACCTCTGGGCTGATCTAGGTCCGGGCATGGCTAACTCACAGATTGCACCCTGAAACAACCTCTGGGCTGATCTAGGTCCGGGCANACCTCTGGGCTGATCTAGGTCCGGGCATGGCTAACTCACAGATTGCACCCTGAAACAACCTCTGGGCTGATCTAGGTCCGGGCATGGCTAACTCATTGATGGATTTGGAATTTAGTGTGTTTGGTTTGGTTATCAAAGTGGATCCTTGCGAGAGTTGATTCCTCAAAAGCGCTCGAAATTCATTGGTTAGATAATCATTCCTACCCTCCCCTTCCTGCATGTCATGATATGTCCTCACCAGATCGAGTTTCCCATCCTTGTTTTGGTCATGGATGTTGTTGAAGTCTTGTTTGTCCAATATGTGGAATTCAGGCATGTCTAACCACGCTTTGATGATAAAATAACGAGTAATAATCAATTAATAACTAGACACATACAGAATGGCCAAACGACTGACTGACCGACTGTTAGACCGACTAACTGACCGATTGACTGACCGACTGTTAGACCGACTGACTGACCGACTGTTAGACCGACTATAAGAAGGAATTAAAGACGAACCTACCAAGATACTCTTCCATCGATAAAAATCCATCTTGATCTGCATCAGCTTCAAGCATGACTTTCTGCAATATCACAGATAAACCAACAATCGAATTAATGAATAAATGTAAGTCCAAGAAAACTAAGAGTTTGCGAATAAGAAATATCTCACCATGGCAACGTAGGGTATCATGACCTCGTGTTCCTTGGGGTGGTGAAAATATTCATATTCTTGTCTTGTGAGCCTGCTGTCCTTATCTTGGTCAGCATACTTCCATTTTCTTTTGTCATCTTGCACATAATTCTCGAGATCCTTTCTCTCCCATTTTTTGTGCAAATCTACGAAACATAAAGGAACCATTAGTAACCATGGTAACCGTTGCTATGATAACAAAAGACATAGATAACTACGTAAAATAATTAAGAAAAGGACACACTATCGTCATAATTGATTGGGCGATAGAATCACGTGATCATTTAACTATGTATATCACGTGATTTAAAACCACCTTCTTCAGGGAATCCAAACGTCCTTGTCATGTACTCGTGCCACGTGACCTGATCGTCATTATTAGTGTCCAGATCCCTGTAGATCGCATCTACATCTTCTTCTACCTCCCATTTCTTCATCTTATGTCGTACCCAGATCTCTAGCTCAGCCTCTTCCACAAAGCCATCTTTGTTGATATCAATTTTGGGAACCAGCATCCTGAAAGAATAATACACTTTATCCATTATGAAATGTTCATTGTTCGTGTGTCTTTTTAAAGCTGCCCCAAAACTGTTAGTCGAAATCCAAATACTCTACTTACTCAAGGCCTCTAATCTTCCGCATATTTTATCGATGCCCACTGAGAAACGACCTCTGGGCTGACCAAAGTCAAGGTACTACTAGCTCACAGATATAGAATCGGATTTTAGCATGTCAGGTTTTGCGGAGGGAAGAAAACGGGATCGATAGCACCAACCTTGATTCCCAAAAACATTGATAGTTTTTACACGCAATCATGTGAACTCATCATTGCAGTTTACGGCGTAATCAGTTGCTATAATGATCAAGTCTGTTGACAACATCTTGTTATTATCTGAGAATCTAAAAACTTTCTCATTTTCTAAATTACTGGAACGCACTTGTGATATCTATCATTGCATTTTACCACACATTTGTCAAATCTTTCATCTTTATCTTTTTACATTTTTCATTTGATTCGTAACTCGAACCAGTCCACCGGTATTGACCGGCGTGTTACCATGACGACAGGTGTGCGCCTTCAAACGTAACAGGTGGTCAGTGACCTCGTTCATCTCAACACACGTGACTTGGTTGTGTGCACAGCTTCAAGCTGATCTAACACTGGATTTGTTTACAAAACACTGAACCTATTTCAGGGCCTTAAGTAGAATCATTATTGTTATGAGCTGTTGTTTTAAAATGTTCTGAAAATCATTTTGACTCGAATAAAAAAATCACTTTTTCTCTACAAAGAAACATTAATTATTTATAAATCGAGTGGAATTTAAAATTGTATTCGGTCCTTTTTTAATAAAATATTTTTTAAATTTATAATATAAGGAATACTCCATAAAAATTTACCAATTACTAAAGGATAAAATGTTTACTCCATTAGCTGACCTAAATCGTTTTCTTTTTTTACTCTTTTACTTCGTTTTTCAGATTTTATTACATATGAGTAGAGTCTGTTAGGTCTTTCCCTTGATTCAAGGGTTTTCTCCAGGTTCTCCGGTTTTCCTCCCTCCGCAAAACCTAATACGCTAAATTCTGATTCAATCTGTGAGTTAGTCATGCCCTGACTTTGATCAGCCCCGAGATTGTTTCAGGGTTCTATCTGTGAGTTAGCCATGCCCTGACTTAGATCAGCCCAGAGGTTGTTTCAGGGTTTGATCTGTGAGTTAGCCGTGACCTGAATTAGATCAGCCCAGAGGTTGTTTCAGGGTTCTATCTGTAGGATAGCCATGCCCTGACTTAGACCGGCCCAGAGGTTGAATTGTTCTTCAGAGTTATCGATACCTTTTTAAACTATTATTAAGGATTTAATGATATCTTTTTGTTCAGTGATATATACCTCAGTCTTCTCTTAGATTCCTCGGGTGTGAGTGTCTCAAACTCCTTCGCCATCTCATCTCCTAAAAACGCTACCCTATCGTCATGCAAGTTGTGCTTTTTCCCGCCAACAAATTCATGCTCTGAGCTTCCTCTACAAGAACAAACCAGAGATACACACAACAAGACGACAAACGTTCTCTCGTAGGACATCTTCGTTAGTCTGCTTCCGACCTTCTTATACGTATCAATGATTTTAAAACGTCTAATTCATTATTAAGATTCCAAGTTTATCTGAATGTAACGATAACTGTGGACACAGCTGGAGACTGTGTGTGGGCAGGACAGTGGAACACGTTCATTACGCATGCGTATTAGCAACATGGTTTTATGACGTGTCTCGGAGATTCAATGATTACGTAATTTGTATGAAGTACTATCTTTATTTTCCCCGAACATTTTTATGATGCCTTCTTTATGTCAACAAGGTCTTTAAAAAAATGAGAAAATAGGACACTTATTTTTCTTATTTCTCCATAGTTGGCGTGTAAATATTTTTTTTTTAAAAAAAAGCATCCCACATGGAAAGGAATGACAATGAGAGCTAACTCATTATGCGATACAGGCGACATCTTGGGTATGCTGGTCATAGCAAGGGGTTAATCATCTTTTGCAAGTAAGCTCACGATTGCCGATAGTTGGTGAAGTTTTTCTTTACAAGTCGGTGTAGAAATTCAAGTCCAAGATCTGAGATTCACAGTTCAAGATTCAAGGCTCAAGATTMTCAAGACTCAAGAATCAAGATTTCTGAAGTCAAGAGCTGGAGTTGTATCCTCCTCCCCCTGTTGGATTATTCCCTAGGTTTGTCCTACTTCGACAACCTAGGAATATTTCCTTCAAGGGCACTGATTATTAATATTTTTGGTATATTATTTTTTGGTCAAATATGTTCTCTGTACATAGGTCAAATACATTAGAATTAGGGCTTCCACGTCAATTACAGAAGCTTAGACAGCCGTTCACTAGGGATGAAATTATTGCGGCCATTGGAAAAGTTCTTGGAAACGAATTGCGTACTGCCATAAAATGTGTTCAGGTGTCTAATACAGGTTATTCTTGTAGAGTAACGTTTAAGGAGGAATCTCATAGACAAAGGGAACAGTTATTTACGAAAGGAATCTATATTAGGGGC